TCTAATCTGGCTCATCCAGGAACAGGAGTTTCTGCAGAAGCAGCAGCAGGATCTGGACAGCGCCCTGAAGAAGATCATCCAGCAGCACAAACACGAGCTCGCCACCATCGAGAGAGACTGCCTCAACCACAAGCAGCAGCTCCTCCGAGGTAAACGCTCGGATCGCCATCTAAGGATGGACTTTAAAACTGAAAATCAGTTTTAGTCCAACGCGGTCTGCTTGTCTGAGTCATGTGCGCAGTGTTAAATTCGTCCCACCCGCAACAAATACTTCCTGTTTTATGATGATAAGCACAACTAAACGTAGTACTTAAACTTAACTAAGCAGATTACGTCTGGGTTTGAGTTCCCAGATGGTTTGGATTTCTGTGATAACTGCAGAAATCACTCGTATGGCTGAGCCTTCAAGGTCTCACTGCGACCATAAGCTGTGTTTTTCTAGTTTTTATGACTGTTTATAAAATAAACCCGACTCAACAAAGACGGTTCCTGCTGTGCCGACGCTGTAAACACTCAGACTGATGTTAGCAGGTGTTTTCACCTCAGAATATAAAAGCTGAGGTTTCTGACCGTGACCCCCTCCAGTCGGAGCGAGGTGGACGGCTGCCCGTTGGCACAGACTGGGACTTAATCCCACGATTAATATTCCAGGAGCGGCACAAATAACACTTCTGAGAAATGCAGGTCACGGGAGGCTGCAGCTGCGCTTCAGGAGCTCAGAGCGAGCTCCGGCTGGCAGCAGAGGTCAAATGTGAACCGTCATTAGTAAAGTTGACGCTGAGGTCTGGAGCTGCTTATGTAGTGAAGACGTTCAGCCTGCGAATGCTTCCTCTGTGCTTCAGCTTTGTCTTTTGATCTGTGTCTGCGTGCAGCACGGGAGGCCGCCATGTGGGAGCTGGAAGAGCGCCATCTGCAGGAGAAACACCAGCTGCTCAAACAGCAGCTCAAAGACCAGTACTTCATGCAGAGGCATCAGCTGCTGAAGAGACACGAGAAGGTACGGCGTGGATGCTGCTGCTGGTTCAGTTTGTTAGGTGACCTCAGACGTGCACAGAGAAACATCGTCACGTTCTCCTGATTGAGTCACTTTTTAGTTATTTGATGTTTTTTCATTTAGGTCGAGAAACTAAAGTGTTTG